AACCACTGGTTTGGCTTTTGGATGTTTGAACTTGTGGCAAATTAAACACTTTGAGCAGATATCTTGAAGAATTGTCTTTGTTTCAGAATCAACAGAACCAGCACTTTGAACAAGGGATAAAAGTTTATCTGATGATGCATGTCCAAACTGCTTGTGCAACTTCAATAGAATCTCCCTTTTCTTCTTAAAAAATAATTTTGTATCAATGCACAAAACCTCCTCACTCTCATTTTTGTTTCTGTTTGTATATTGCTTGTCTTTAATGTTGATACAGTAATGACCACTTGAAGTTAGGTTCACATCCACTAACTGTCCAAACATGGTAACCTTGTCATTGCTGAGATCAAGGATAGTGCTTGCTCGCTTCAGAGAGGTTTTACGTAACAATAACGGTATTTCACAATCCACTACTTCTGTTTCAATTGAGCACTTAACTGACCCAATAAGTGCTGGGATTTTCACTTTCTGATATGAGTATACTGTTTGTCCATCACCAAACTTGAATGGTACATGACTTTCAAAACAAGTAATTTGATCAAGCCCTGGATCAAGTGATTCTACAAATTCATACAACCATTTAGAACCACATACTGTCTTAGAACATGCAGTATCAATAACTGCGGCATTGTAGGCTTCTGCGACAAACACCGTTAGAGGCTTAAATTCCTGTGCTGAGATAAATAATGTTATATTTACAGTTTCATTTAATTCATCACTCTCATGTTCTGTTAAATTTACATCAAGCTGCTTGTGAGGACAATCCTTGACCCAATGAAATTTGGAATCACATATTTTACATCTTGAGACATTACCATTAAAGACTGGATTCATTTTAGTCTTAAGTCTACTAAAGTTGGTAGATCTATCAGCTCGATTACGAGGAAAATTTCTTCTTGAACTTCGGTCTCTCTGATAATAGCCATCACTGACAAAAGCTGATTCTTCCTTAACAGTTACAACAGAGTCTCGTTCTCCAGGAATATTTTGAGATTTTGATGCAAATATCCTATTCAAAGCAGATTTCATTGTGTCGAATTTAAGGTCAGAACATGCAGTTAGTGCCAGCTGACGATAACTTTGACTTAATCCAGCATTGTCCAGAAGTTTAAAAGCTAGAATTGCGTCTGGAAGTCCCATATCATATTTCTTACATTTATTATATCTCTGCTCAAATTCAATGATATAATCAGACATGCTTACATCCTCTCCTCTGTGGAACTGATCAAATACAGTATAAGCAGCATAAGCCTGATCTATTTAATCCTTCTCAAAAAGCTTGTCCAACTCAGTTATTAGCTTATCTACTCCTTCATCAACATTTAAATCACTGGGATCTACTTCTAGGGCTACTTCCCTTGGTTTTCCTTGTAACAACAAAGCTAAAGCCAAACCTCTCTTCTTCTTGTCCAGATCAGTCACGAGTTGCCACATTTTTACCTCATTTTTCCATTGTTGATAACCCTTATCTTTGGTCAAACCTGGTGGGTTCTTGTAACTAGTAGCTGTTGCCATCTTTATTAGCTCTGCTACCACTGTTAGTTGATTAATTATGGCTTCAATAAAATCTATTGTCTAATCTAATGTCTTTACTAATCTATAAACAAAACCCACCAAGTAACATGTACCTGAAAAAAATATAAACAAAATAATAGAAAACACAATAGTTAACATTTGGGGCCAAAAAGGGGCCAAAAAACAAGCATTTTTCTAGTTTCCAGACAATAACTTGTGTTCAAGTGTATGGATCTCTCTGAAATTGTACTGCAGGTACCATACCACAAAGGGAAGGCTGGGATTGAGTTTGGGGGTGATGAATCATAAGGGGGATCAAAAAATTGGGGGGGGGGGGGGATTTTTTTTTCTTTAAAATTTTCCATTTTAAATTGGTTATTTCTGATTTATATATAAAAGCAAATAATAATGATATGGTTTGAAAAGGTAAATTAAAAATTCTTAAGTTCTAAGACCACATTCATTCTGTGTCAGAAACCTGTGCTGTGTCAAATATTTAATCACAATCCAAATTCAGTGCTGTATCAAGCTTGAATGTTGTGTCCATTCTTGCCCCAACTGTTCAGGGTTCGACCTCTGCGGTCGTATCAAGCTGCGCCCAGCGGAGCATTTTATTTTGAAAATTTGTAAACAGTCAAGATCCCCACCCTGAAACCATTTTTCTTCTTGTATATTACAATAAAACAAATCAAATGAAATAAAAGTCGAGTCCCCTGAGGTCACCCCCACCTTTTTCCTGTTTAAGAACTTGTAAATGGTTAAGATCCCTCACCCCTAAACCATATATATTCTTGTATGGGACAATAAAACAAATCAAATGTAATATAGGGGAAGTCCATTGGAGTAACCCCCACCCCCTTCTTTTTGATAGCTTGTAAACGGTCAAGATTCCCACCCAGAAACCATATATATTCTTGTATGGGACAATATATCAAATCAAATGAAATATAGATGAAGTCCACGGGGGTAAATCCCAACCCCTTCATTTTGAAAACTTGTAAACGGTTGAGATCCCCACCCTTAAACCATATATATTCTTGTATGGGACAATAAAACAAATCAAATGAAATTTAACGGAAGTCCACGGTGGTAAATACCCACCCCCTTCTTTTTGAAAACTTATAAACGGTTGAGATCCCCACCCCTAAACCATATATATTCTTGTATGGGACAATAAAACAAATCAATTGAAATTTAGGGGAAGTCCTCTGGGGTAACCCCCACCCCTTTTTTTTTTAAAAACTTGTAAACAGTCAAGATCCCCACTCTGAAACAATATATATTCTTGTATGTTACAATAAAACAAATCAAATGAAATAAAAGTCAAGTCCCCTGGGGTCATCCCCACGTTCTTTCTGTTTAAGAACTTGTAAACGGTCGAGATCCCCACCCCTAAACCATATATATTCTTGTATGGGACAATAAAACTAATCAAATGAAATATAGGGGAAGTCCATTGGGGTAACCCCTACCCCCCTTTTTTTTGATAACTTGTAAAATGTCAAGATTCCCACCCAGAAACCATATATATTCTTGTATGGGACTATATATCAAATCAAATGAAATATAGGGGAAGTCCATGGGGGTAAACACTACCCCCTTCTTTTTGAAAACTTGTAAACGGTTGAGATCCCCACCCCTAAACCATATATATTCTTGTATGGGACAATAAAATAAAGCAAATTAAATTTAGGGGAAGTCCCCTGGGGTAACCCCTACTCTCCTTTTTTTTGAAAACTTGTAAACGGTCAAGATCCCCACTGCGAAACCATATATATTCTTGTATGTTACAATAAAACAAATGAAATGAAATAAAAGGTGAGTTCCTTGGGGTCATTCCCACCTTCTTCCTGATTAAGAACTTGTAAATGGTCGAGTAATCAGTTTGTGTGTGTTATATTTGAACATAAATTAAATATATATAGGGTTCTTTCAAGTGCTGAATCTGAACTTGTTTTTAATTAGATAATAATCTATTTTTATTATGAGATAAAGTTTTTGACATTGATAGATAAGTTGCAGATCTGTATTATTTTTTGACACATGAAAGAAGCAATATTAGCAACTATTAATTAAAGGAGTAGGTCCACTAAGACCCCTTTTTGGCCCCAAAATATAGCAGTTTTACAAAATTGTTAAAATGTTAACTTTTAGCTATTTATTGGAAAGAAGAATACTTCTGTTACATAAATATGGGCTGTTTTTGACAATACAATGCACATGTATCAGGTACTAGCATCGTTAAGTCATGCAAAATTACTGAAATCTTCACAATTTGAGCATTTGAGTGAATTTTTAAACGGTTTTTGTCTTAAATGGTAGTGGCCGCATTTGTGTTCATTCTTAATATTTAAATGTAAGTTGTATTTGATGATAATACATAACATATATAAAGATTGAGGATGAACACGGATGCGGCCACTTTCATTTTTGATAAAAACCATCTGAAAAAGGACATATTATGGCATATTTGATAGATTTTTAATATTTAAGCTTGAATTTGAGCGTCTATAATGACTAAATCAGTCCAAATCTTTCACATAAACTAATTGAATCTAATAAAGTAGACACTTAAGTGTTTAAAAAGTGTCCAAAATTTTTCATCAGATAAACTTGAAAGTTTGAGGCCAAAATCGGCCCTTACCGGACCTACTCCTTTGATTATAATATGGAAATAGATATAACATCATATCTGATTTTAGAGAAATATTTTGCTGGTTTTTGTCGAGCCTGCGACTTTTGTCGCAGAAAGCTCGACATAGGGATAGTGACCCGGAGGCGGCGGTGGCTATGGCGGCGGCGGCGTTAGCTAACTTCTTAAAAGCTTTATATTTTAGAAGGTGGGAGACCTGGATGCTTCATACTTTGTATATAGATGCCTCATGTTACGAAGTTTCCGTTAGTCACATGTCCAATGTCCTTGACCTCATTTTCATGGTTCAGTGACTACTTGAAAAAAAAGTTCAGATTTTTTGGAATGTTAAATTCTCTCTTATTATAAGTAATAGGATAACTATATTTGGTATGTACGTACCTTGCAAGGTCCTCATGCCCGTCAGATAGTTTTCACTTGACCTCGACCTCATTTCATGGATCAGTGAACAAGGTTAAGTTTTCGTGGTCAAGTCCATATCTGAGATACTATAAGCAATAGGTCTACTATATTTGGTGTATGTAATGATAGTAAGGTGTACATGTCCAACTGGCAGGTGTCATCTGACCTTGACCTTAGTTTTTGTGTTTTGGTCTGTTTTTCTAATACTGTATGCAATAGGTCAACTGTATTTGGTGTATGGAAATATTGTACCATGTTTATGTCAGTCTGGCAAGTTTTATTTGACCTTGACCTCATTTTCACGGTTCATTGCTCAATGTTAAGTTTTTGTGTTTTGGTTTGTTTTTCTAATACTGTATGCAGTAGGTCAACTATATTTGGTGTATGGAAATATTTTACGATGTACATGTCAGTCTGGCATGTTATATTTGACCTTGACCTCATTTTCAAGGTTCATTGCTTATGTTAAGTTTTTGTGTTTTGGTCTGTTTTTCTTACACTTTAAGCAATAGGTCAACTATATTTGGTGTATGGAATGATTGTAAGGTGTACATGTCTAGCTGGCAGGTGTCATTTGACCTTGATCTCATTTTCATGGTTCAGTGGTCAAAGTTAAGATTTTGAGTTTTGGTCTTTTTTTCTAATACTATATGCAATAGGTCAACTATATTTGGTGTATGGAAATATTTTATGATCTTTCTGCAGTTGGGCAGGTTTTATTTCACCTTGACCTCATTTTCACAGTTCATTCCTCAGTGTTAAGTTTTTGTGTTTTGGTCTGTTTTTCTTAAACTATAAGCAATAGGTCAAATATATTTGTTGTATGTTAGAACTGTTAGCTGTACATGCCTGTCTGTCATGGTTCATCTGACCTTGACCTCATTTTCATGGTTCATTGGTCAATGTTTAGTTTTCTTGGTTAATGTTAAGTTTATGTGACAGTTGTAAGAAAGCTTTATATTTAGGACTATCAACATAATATCAATGATTAGTAAAGAAGGCGAGACATTTCAGCGTGTGCACTCTTGTTTACTGGTTTATGGAAATAAGTTTGAGTTATTTGTTTTGAAAAGTGATGTGTTTAATTGATAGATATAAAATCATATCTAATTTTAGAGATTTATGAGTGGTTAAGTCATATCTAATTTTAGGGAATTATTTTGGTGTTTTGTTACTGGTTCATGGAAAGAAATTTGAGTTATTGGCGAAATATCATTGGTAAATTGTTTGAAACTTTTTTGGTAGGCTGTGTGTGTGTCTGTCTGTCTGTCTGTCTGTCTTTCTGTCTGTTTGTCTGTTTGTCCTTCAGTTTGGCAATCAGTTTGCCACACATTTATGCCTGTAGTTGAGGGGCATTAAGTTTTACCCTTGTCTGTCTGTAAGTAGGTATGCTGTATGTCCCAAAATTGGTTTTCGTTCTCTATGGGACAATAAAACAAATCAAATGAAATATAGGGGAAGTCCATTGGGGTAACTACCACCCCCCTTCTTTTTGATAACTTGTAAACGGTCAAGATCCCCACCCTAGAAACCATATACCTATGTTCTTGTATGTTACAATCAAACAAATGGAATCCATTTTTAATATCCAAAAGTGGAATTTTAAAATATTTATCTCTTGTTATTATTTTATGACTTGTCTTATCTCACAATAAAAATTGGAGTGACAGATTTATTTGAAAATTATCTATTTCCTAAGTGGTGATGATTATAAGCTATATTATTAGACATTTTGAAGATTATTACATACTTAATTATTAATTAGATCTGGGTTATATCTTAGCATATGATAATCATTGGAGTGACAGATTTATTTGAAAAATTTCTGTTTCCTGATAAGATCTGTAGGACTGTATATATAAAGTTTGAAATTTACTAGTAGGACTGTATAAATGAAGTTTGAAATTTACTGTTCATTATTAGACATTTTGTAGATAATTAAGTCTCCCTAAACCATTTATATTCTTACCCCCACCCCCTTCAATTTGAAAATGTGCTTTTATCTTGTAAACGGTCAAGATCCCCACCCTGAAACCATATATTTTCTTGTATGGGACAATAAAACAAATCAAATGAATTAAAAGAGAGTCCCCTGGGGTCACCCCCACCCCATCCTGTTTGGGAACTTGTAAATGGTTGAGATCCCAACCCCTAAACCATATATATTCTTGTATGGGACAATAACACTAATCAAATGAAATATAGGGGAAGTCAGGGGGGTCACCCCACCCCCCTTCTTTTTGAAAACTTGTAAATGGTCAAGATCCCCACCCCTAAACCATATATATTCTTGAATGGGCCAATAAAACAAATCAAATGAAATATTGGGGAAGTCCATGGGGGTAACCCCCACCCCCTTCTTTTTGAAAACTTGTAAATGGTCAAGATCCCCACCCTGAAACCATATATTTTCTTGTATGGGACAATAAAACAAATCAAATGAAATATAAGGCGAGTCCCCTGGGGTCAACCCCACCCCATCCTGTTTGAGAACTTGTAAACGGTTGAGATCCCCACCCCTAAACCATATATATTCTTGTATGGGACAATAAATCAAATTAAATGAAATATAGAAGAAGTTCATGGGGGTAACCCCCACCCCCTTCTTTTTGATAACTTGTAAACGGTCGAGATCCCCACCCCTAAACCATATATATTCTTTAATGGGACAATTAAACAAATCAAATGAAATTGAGGGGAAACCTCCACCCCCCTATTTTTTGAAAACTTGTTAACGGTCAAAATCCCCACCCCGAAACCATATATTTTCTTGTATGGGACAATAAAACAAATCAAATGAAATATAAGGCGAGTCCCCTTGGGTCACCCCCACCCCCCCTCCTGTTTGAGAACTTGTAAACGGTTGAGATCCTTACCCTTAAACCATATATATTCTTGTATTGGACAATAAAACAAATCAAATGAAATATAGAGGAAGTCCAGGGGGTCACCCCCACCGGCCTTTTTTTTGAAAACTTGTAAACAGTCAAGATCCCCACTCTGAAACCATATATATTCTTGTATGGGACAATAAAACAAATCAAATGAAATATAAGGCGAGTCCCCTGGGGTCACCCCTCCCCCTCCTGTTTGAGAACTTGTAAACAGTCGAGATCCCCACCCCTAAACCATATATATTCTTGTATGGGACAATAAAACAAATCAAATGAAATATAGGGAAAGTCCATGGGGGTAACCCCCACCCCCTTCTTTTTGATAACTTGTAAACAGTCAAGATCCCCACCCCTAAACCATATATATTCTTGAATGGGACAATAAAACAAATCAAATGAAATTGAGGGAAAATCCCCTGGGGTAACCCCCACCCCCCTTCTTTTTGAAAACTTGTAAATGGTCAAGATCCCCACCCCCAAACCATATATATTCTTGTATGGGACAATAAAACAAATCAAATGAAATATAAGGTGAGTCCCCTTGGGTCACCCCCACCCCTCCTGTTTAAGAACTTGTAAACGGTTGAGCTTTTCATTATTATTAAGATAATACCACATTGAGGTCCAAAGGGTCCTAAATTAAACTTTTGTTTAATTTCATCAAAAATTGAATTCTTTGGTTCTTTGATATGCTGATTCTAACAATGTTTGAGTGTTAAATCATATCTAATTTAAGAGAACTTAGTCATCACTGGTTGTTGTTACTATATTATTGATTATAATTTGAAAAATTGCATCATATCTTATTTTAGAGAACTATTTATCCAGTTTGAGTTATTTCCATTTGCACAGAAAATATTATGGATAAAATTAACCTGTGTTTCATTTCAACATAAATTAAATATATATATAGGGTTCTTTCAAATGCTGAATCTAAACTCTATTTAAATATTAGATTTTTAGGCCCAGTTTTCAAGTTGGTCCAAATCAGGGTCCAAAATTAAACTTTGTTTGATTCAACAAAAATTGAATTTATGGGGTTCTTTGAAATGCTGAATCTAACCATGTATTGAGAGATTTTGGATTGTGGGCTCCTTTATCAAATTGGTTTACATTGAGGTCCTAAGGGTCCTAGATTAAACTTTTGTCTGATTTCATCAAAAATTGAATTCTTGGGGTTCTTTGATATGCTGATTCTAATATGTACTTAGATTTTGGATATTGGACCATAATAGGTATTTTAAAAATGTCCAATTTCAAATATATCTTTGACTACATTCATTTTGTGTCACAAACCTATGATGTGTCAAATATTCAATCACAATCCAAATTCAGAGCTGTTTTAAGTTTAAATTTAGTGTCCATACTTGCTCAACTGTTCAGGGTTCGCCCTCTGCAGGAAAATCCGGTTTGCTGTCTCTCTGGCAGCCTCTTGTTTAAATTCTATTATAAAATAGATTAAGTTAGCACTATGGTAAATTTAAATGGGTAATTATGGTTGCAAACTGCATTGGTAATTTGAATTGAGATTATGACCATATCTTGTGGGAAAGAATTTTTTGGGGGGAAAAGGGGGGGGGGGGGGTAAAAAGAAATTGTGGGGGGTCAATTTTTTCTCATTTCAGATTTCAGAAAATAAAAAGAATTAATTATTCTTCAAATATTATTTTTTTTTCAAATTTCAAATATTGAAAAATTTCAAGTAATCTTTAATTGCACAGTATGGCGCATTAGATTTGTAAAATCTTTGACCACATTTATTTATTTGTTATGCTGAATCTAACCGTGTGGTTAGATATTTTTGCGGTCGTATATTGGTATGAAGTTGGCGTCGTCGGCATCGTTTGAAGACACATTGGTTTTCGCACTATAACTTTAGTTATAGTGAATGGATCTCTATGAAATTTTACCTTAAGGTTAAATACCACAAAAGGAAGGTTGGGATTGATTTTGGAGGTTATTGTACCAACAGTTAAGGAATTAGGGGCCAAAAATAAGCATGTTCTAGTTTCCAGACAATAACATGTGGAAAGGTGTATGGATCTCTCTGAAATTATACCTCAAGTTTCCATACCACATAGGGATGGTTAGGATTTGCTTTGGGGGGTTATGGCTCAAACCGTTTAGGAATTAGGGGCAAAAAAGGGGGAAAAACATCATTTGAATTACCTCCCTTACACTGCTTATAAATTATGTATAAAGTAATGATTAATGAACAATTAATACAATTTAAAACAGTGTGAGGGAGGTAATCCAAATACAACGTTTTGATTACTTCCCTTACACTGCTTTTAAATTATGTTTAAAGAAATGCATATTTATAAAGGAAGACCAGTAAAAATATCTGCAAATGTTGCATCTTTTTTTTTTTACAAAAAAATCCATATGAAAGATTTGACACCATATTTTAAATTCTATTATAAAATATATTAAGTTAGCACTATGGTAAATTTAAATGGGTAATTGTGGTTGCAAATTCCATTGGAAATATGAATTGAGATTATGACCATATTAGATTTGTAAAATCTTTGACCACATTTATTTATTTGTTATGCTGAATCTGACCATGTATTTAGATTTTTAATTTTGGGTCCAGTTTTCAAATTGGTCTACATTAAGGTCCAAAGGGTCCAAAATTAAACTTAGTTTGATTTTAACATAAATTGAATATATGTGGTTCTTTGATATGCTGAATCTAAACATGTATTTAGATTATTTATTTTGGGCCCAGTTTTCAAGTTGGTCCAAATTGGGGTCCAAAATTAAACTTTGTTTGATTTCAACAAAAATTGAATATATGGGGTTCTTTGATATGCTGAGTCTAACCATGTATTTAGATTTTTTATTTGTGGGCCCTGCTATCAAATTGGTTCATATTTAGGTCAAAAGGGTCCAAAATTAAATTATGTTTGATTTCATCAAAAATTGAATATATGGGGTTCTTTGATATGCCAAATCTAACCGTGTATTTACATTTTTAATTTTGGGTCCCGTTTTCTAAATTGGTCTACATTAAGGTCCAAAGGGTCCAAAATTAAACTTAGTTTGATTTTAACAAAAATTGAATATATGGGGTTCTTTGATATGCTGAATCCAACCATATATTTTGTTTTTTGGGCCCCGTTATCAAATTGGTCCACATTGAGGTCAAAAGGGTCCAAAATGAAACTTTGATTGATTTCATCAAAAATTGAATTCTTTGGATTCTTTGATATGCTGAATCTAACCATGTATTTAGATTTTAGATATTGGACCATAATAGGTAAATTAAAATTTTTTAAGTTCTTAGACCACATTCATTCTGTGTCAGAAATCTATGCTGTGTCAAATATTTAATCACAATCCAAATTCAGAGCTGTATCAAGCTTGAATGTTGTGTCCATACTTGCCCCAACTGTTCAGGGTTTGACCTCTGCTATCGTATCAAGCTGCGCCCAGCGGAGCATTTTATTTAATCTGACATAATTTTTGAACATGCGTCTTGTAAAATTTAAAGAATATAGTCTTCTACAGTAAAGAAAAGATAAACCTCAAATTCCTTCCAAAAAATTGTAATTTTAGAGTAAATATTGGCTCTTTTGTTGAAATATAGTTGAAACCGAAAAATTTAATTTATTTTCTAATCTGACATAAATTTTGAACATGTGTCTCATAAAATTTGCAGAATAGAGTCTTCTATGGTTTAAAGAAAGATAAACATCAATTTCTTTCAGAAATTGTAATTTTGGGGTAAATTTTGGCTTTTATGTTGAAAAATCGCTGAAAACTGAATTTTCTAGTTTCCAGATAATAACTCGTGGAACGGTGTATGGAACTCTCTGAAATTATACCACAAGTTTCCATACCACAAAGGGATGGTTAGGATTGGCTTTGGGGGGGTAATGGCTCAAACCGTTTAGGAATTAGGGGCAAAAAAGGGGGAAAAACAAGGGTTTCCTTGTTAATGGACAATTACTTTTAAGTACAATGTTTTGTGTTTGGATTACCTCCCTTACACTGCTTTTAAATTATGTATAAAGAAATGTTGTATTGTCTTGAGGTGATTAGCTGTCAATTTATTTTTAGAAGTTACTATTAAAGATGCTGATTAAGGAATATTAATTTTAACATGATTATGATTGTCATTTTCTATTTTAAGACTTTTATGATGTATTTAATTGGGTAATTATGGTTGCAAACTCCATTGAAAATTTGAATTGAGATAATGATCATATCTTGAGGGAAAGAATTTTTTTTTTGGAAAAAGGGGGGGGGGGAGGGGGAGGTGAAAAAAAAATTGGAGGGGGGTGGAATTTTTTTTTCCTCATTTCAGATTTCAGAAATTAAAAAAGAAAATTTCTTCAAATAGTTTTTTTTTTTCAAAAAAAAAAGGGGGGGGGGGGGGGGGGGGGGGGGGGTCAATTCACAACAGCATAGTGTATTGCACAATAGCAAAAAATTGAATATAAATTCAAATCATATAACCTATTCTAAGTTCTTTGACTACAATTATTCTGTGTCAGAAAACCTATTATGTGTCAAATATTTAATTACAATCCAAATTCAGACCTGTATCAAGCGCGAATATTGTGTCCATTTTTGCCCCAACTGTTCAGGGTTGGACCTCTGTGGTCGTATCCAGCTGCGCTCGGCGAAGCAATTTATTTTTGATGAAGTGAACTCCTTTAAAAACTAAGCTTATATTGTCTATTAATAAACATATATTAAGATTTCTGATTTTGGTTTAATTTCATCAAAAACTGAATTCTTGGGGTTCTTTGATATGCTGATTCTAAGAAAGTTTTAGTGATTAAATCATATCTGATTTTATTGATTATAATTTGAAATATATAACATCATATCTAATTTTAGAGAACTATTTTTTAGTGGTTAAATCATATCTAATTTTAGAGAACTATTTGTTTATCATTTATTCAGTTTGAGTTATTTCCCTTTGAACCGAAAATTTTTAATAAGTATATGGATAACATTAATCTGTGTTTCATTTCAACATAAATTAAATATATATAGGGTTCTTTCAAATGCTGAATCTAAACCTGTTTTTAAATATTGGATTTTTGGGCCCAGTTTTCAAGTTGGTCCAAATCAGGGTCCAAAATTAAACTTTGTTTGATTTCAACAAAAATTGAATTTATGGGTTTTTTGAAATGCTGAATCTAACCATGTATTTAGAGTTTTTGTCGAGCCTGCGACTTTTGTCGCAGAAAGCTCGACATAGGGATAGCGATCCGGCGGCGGCGGCGGCGGCGTTAGCTAACTTCTTAAAAGCTTTATATTTTAGAAGATGGAAGACCTGGATGCCTCATGTTACGAAGTTTCAGTCAGTCACATGTCCAATGTCCTTGACCTCATTTTCATGGTTCAGTGACTACTTGAAAAAAAAGTTCAGATTTTTTGTAATGTTAAATTCTCTCTTATTATAAGTAATAGGATAACTATATTTGGTATGTGCGTACCTTGCAAGGTCCTCATGCCCGTCAGACAGTTTTCACTTGACCTCGACCTCATTTCATGGATCAGTGAACAAGGTTAAGTTTTCGTGGTCAAGTCCATATCTCAGATACTATAAGCAAAAGGTCTAGTATATTCGGTGTATGGAAGGACTGTAAGGTGTACATGTCCAACTGGCAGGTGTCATCTGACCTTGACCTCATTTTCATGGTTCAGTGGTTCTAGTTAAGTTTTTGTGTTTTGGTCTGTTTTTCTTATACTGTATGCAATAGGTCTACTATATTTGGTGTATGGAATGATTGTAAGGTGTACATGTCTAGCTGGCAGGTGTCATCTGACCTTGACCTCATTTTCATGATTCAGTGGTCAAAGTTAAGTTTTTGAGTTTTGGTCTTTTTTTCTAATACTGCATGCAATAGGTCAGCTATATTTGGTGTATGGAATGATTGTAAGGTGTACATGTCTAGCTGGCAGGTGTCATCTTACCTTGACCTCATTTTCATGGTTCAGTGGTCAAAGTTAAGTTTTTGAGTTTTGGTCTTTTTTTCTAATACTATATGCAATAGTTCAACTATATTTGGTGTATGGAAATATTTTATGATCTATATGTCAGTCACGCAGGTTTTATTTGACCTTGACCTCATTTTCAAGGTTCATTGCTCAGTGTTAAGTTTTTGTGTTTTCGTCTGTTTTTCTTAAACTATAAGCAATAGGTCAACTATATTTGTTGTATGGAAGAATTGTTAGCTGTACATGCCTGCCTAGCATGGTTCATCTGACCTTGACCTCGTTTTCATGGTTCATTGGTCAATGTTTAGTTTACTTGGTTAATGTTAAGTTTATGTGACAGTTGTAATAAAGCTTTATATTTAGGACTATTAACATAATATCAATGATTAGTAAAGAAGGCGAGACATTTCAGCGTGTGCACTCTTGTTTGATTTTGGGCTCCTTTATCAAATTGGTCCACATTGAGGTCCAAAGGGTCCTAAATTAAACTTTTGTTTGATTTCATCAAAAATTGAATTCTTGGGGTTCTTTGATATGCTGATTCTAACAATGTACTTAGATTTTGGATATTTGACCATAATAGGTAAATGTTCAATTTCAAATTTTTCAGTTCTTTGACCACATTCATTTTGTGTCACAAACCTATGCTGTGTCAAATATTCAATCACAATCCAAATTCAGAGCTGTTCTAAGCTTAAATGTAGTGTCCATACTTGCTCAACTGTTCAGGGTTCGACCTCTGCAGGAAATTCTTGTTTGCTGTCACTCTGACAGCCTCTTGTTGTGTTTTGGTCTGTTTTTTTTGTCTCGCCTGCTAGGAAAGTCGCAGTATGCCAGACATAGGTATTACTATCCGGAGGCGGCGGCGTAAACTTTTAGTATAAAGCTTTATATTTCAAAAGGTAGAAGACCTGGATGCTTCATACCTTGTATGCAGATACCGTATGTTACGAAGTTTCTGTCTGTTATATGCCCATTGTCCTTGACCTCATTTTCATGGTTCAGTGACTGCTTGAAAAAAAATTCCATTTTTTTTGTCATTTGAATTTCTCACTTATTATGAGTAATAGGATAACTATATTTGGTATATGGGTTCCTTGCAATGTCTACATGTCTGTCAGACAGGGTTAACCTGACCTCGACCTCAATTCATGGATTAGTGATCATGGTTAGGTCCGTTTCTCAGATACTACAAGCAGCAGGTCAACTATATGTGGTGTATGGAATGATTGTAAGGGGTACATGTCAGACTGGCAGGTTTCATTTGACCTTGACCTCATTTTCATGGTTCATTGGTCATTGTTATTTTTGTTTGTTTTGGTCGTTTTTCAAGTACTGTAAGCAATAGGTCAAATATATTTGGTGTATGGAATGATTGTATGGTGTACATGTCTGTCTAGCTGGTGTCAATAGACCTTGACCTAATTTTAATGGTTCATTGGTCAATGTTAAGTGTTTGTGTTTTGGTCTGTTTTACAAGAACTATATGCAATAGGTCAACTATATTTGGTGTATGGAATGATTGTAAGATGTAAATGTCTGTCTAGCCAGTATCATCTGACCTTGACCTCATTTCCATGGTTCATTGGTTAACATTAAGTTTTTGTGTTTTGGTCAGTTTTTCAATTACCATAAGCAATATGTCAACTATATTTGGTGTATGGAATGATTGTAAGGTGTACATGTCTGTCTAGCCAGTATCATCTGACCTTGACCTAATTTCCATGGTTCATTGGTTAACATTAAGTTTTTGTGTTTTGGTCTGTTTTTCAATTACCATAAGCAATATGTCAACTATATTTGCTGTATGGAATAATTGTAAGGTGTACATGTCTGTGTGACAGTTTCATCTGATCTTGACCTCATTGTCATGGATCTTTAAAAATGCCAAGTTTATGTGATACTTGTAGTAAAACCTTTATCTTTAAGACTTTCAACATAAAATTAATGGTCAGTAAAACAGGCGAGACATTTCAGCATGTGTACTCTTGTTTTGAACTAAAAACAATAGGTCAACTATATTTGGTGTATGGAAAGATTGTAGGTGTATATGTCTGTCTTGCAGGTATCATATGACCTTGACCTCATTTTCATGGTTCATTGGTCAATGTTAAGTTTTCCTGTTTTAGTTTGTTTCTTTGATACTATATGCTAAATGGTGAACTATAATTGATCCATGTAATGATTGTAAGATGTACATGTTTAACTGGCAGTGTTCATTTGACCTTGACCTCATTGTCATGGTTCATTTGTCAATATTAAGTTTTCCTGTTTAAGTTTGTTTCTTAGATACTATATGCAATAGGTCAACTATATTTGATCCATGTAATGATTGTAAGATGTACATGTTTAACTGGCAGGGTTCATCTGACCTTGACCTCATTTTCATGGTTCATTGGTCAATATAAAGTTTTCATGGTTTGGTCTGTTTCTTGTATACTGGAAGCAATAGGTCAACTATATTCAGTGTATGGAAAGATTGTAAGATGTACATATATTTCTAGCTTGGTTTATCCGACCTTGACCTCATTTTCTTGGATCATGTTAAGTTTATGTGATACATGTAGTAAAACTTTATATTTAGGACTATCAACATAAAATCAATGGTCAGTAAAGCAGGCGAGACTTTTCAGCGTGTGCACTCTTGTTAAAAGATTAATACCCCTTAGAAATATTAACTATATTGAAAATTGCATTGGAAGCGCTCTTATGTGTACAATTCATAGAAAAACAAAGGATATGGGGTATCCATCCATGACACAAAATCAGTACATGGACAGCAAAAAGCAAAGGAACAGTGCTTTTATTGCTGTTCTTCATCTCAAAGTCATAGTGAGGCCTTCAACACAGAACATAAAAAAACTCACCTCACTGCAAGTTTAAGTCAGCCACTAGCACTGGTATGAGCGGAATTCTTTGCAAAATGATTCAGATAGACTTTGTAAGGTGTAACACCACCAAATCAGGCCTGGTCAAAAAAGAACACACTGGAAAGTAGTACATATATAAAACAAAATAATTCCTACGCATAGCTGTAAATATCAAACTATGTAGAATATATTTTAGTAATTAAGGTATCAAATGAAAGGTGAAGGACTGGTGATCCTTGTAGAACACATATTGACTGATAATTTTGAATAATACAAAAATGTATGAATGAATTCTAAAATTGAGGGCACATATTGCCTGTTTCTCAGATATGAAGTACCTGGTTTGGTATCCAAAGTTCCTGTACAAACTCATTAATATACCTAATAGAAAAACAAAGGATATGGGGTATCTATCCATGACACAAAATCAGTACATGCACAGCAAAAAACACATAAAAAGCTAAGGAACAGCACTTTTATTGCTGTTCTTCATATCATGCCTGATTTTTATCAAATTTATAACAAAGGTTTATATCAGTAATATCTTGGACAAGTTCAAAAATCAGTTTCCATCTTTTATTGCTGTTCTTCATATCATGCCTGATTTTTATCAAATTTATAACAAAGGTTTATGTCAGTAATATCTTGGACAAGTTCAAATATCAGTTTCTATCAATAATTTTTAAAAGAGTAATGCCCCTAGAAATATTAATAATATGGGAAATTTAAATCAAGGGTTTATATCAGCAATGTCTCGGACAAATTGGAAAATCAGTGCAGGTTAATTATTTTTAAAAGTGTTAAGCCCCTTGGAAATATTAATTATATTGAGAATTGCATTGTAAGCGATCTCAAGCCTACATTTGTCTACAATATTTATAAAAAGTTTTGAAGAATAAAAAAAAAATCTTGTTTAGTTAATGCCTTTGGACAGATAGATTTTGTCCAAGGCAGGGTGGGGTGGGGGAGGGGAACATTATTTGGAACCATTTACAATGAAGCACTCTTGAAACATTTTTGGTCATATCCCCCGAAAGCCAAAGAAAGAACAGATTGATCAGTGATTTTATTGTGGTAGAAATGTATGCTTGACACAGAGCATGTGGGATTGATAAGAACATATACAAGGAATACTTTGTAAAATGATTGCAACTGAATTTCTAAGAATGAGATAGATGTACAACAAAACTTATACACAAGAATTATATTGTTCATCTGTATTGTATATACTGTACCAAGCATGTTGATATTATTTTCATATTATTTTTTAAAATTGAAAATATATTTAGATTGAACCAAAGAGCAAATAATTGTGTAGTTTAATTATTTTTTTGGAAAGAATACGTGTATCAGCGAAAACAGAGGCTATCTTTTCCCTCAGAGCTATCATCTCTTTAATATTTTGTGTGTTGGGCAAAAACTATAGAAGATAGAGAGAAACTGTTAACAGAAAAATGCTCATCAATACAAGATCAATTAATAAGAGAGTTAAGCCATGAATTATATTCTAGTCTACAATGTTGGAGAGTGTCCATTGTTGAAGATGCACATAGACCTAGATGAGCAACACAGGCTCCTTAGAGCCTCTAGTTTTATATAGTCAGCAATTATAAAAGCTTAGGGAATTTTCAAATATTTTGTATTAAAGTTGTCATTGTGTTTATCTTCAGATGTTTTTTAAGCATAAGTTTCCTGTAGAGGTACAGAAATGGATAGTTGGTAAAAGAATACCAAAGGATGAAGAGACATTACAAAGACTTAGAGTAACAAATGGTCAGACAGTATTTCTGTATCTTGTGTCTGCAAAATCAGTAGGGCTTGATAAAAAGCATCGTATGACAGTTTCAGGTTTGTACTTTTCCCTCTTTTTTGTTGTTGTAAAATTATAATTATTAGTTCATGTCCAAAAAGTGTTTGAAAATTAATCAAAATCTATGATTTTTTTTAATGAAAACATGCAGAAGAAACTTTCCGAAAGGGCCAGTGTGAGCTATTGCTATCACTTGGCATCATGGTCATCTTTTTTCAACCTTTGTCAGTAAAATTTTATACGACTGCAAAATTTTTTGCATTCGTATTATGTTATGGCAATGTCTGCATCCGAAGACATTTTGGTTCGCAGACAATAACTTGAGTATATGTGTATGGATCTCAATGAAATTTTAGAACAAGGTTCCATACCACAAAAGGAAAGTTGGGATTGATTTTGGGGGGTATTGACGTAGCCGTTTTAGGGTCCAAAAAGAAGCATTTTTATACGACCGCAAAAAGATTTTTTGCGGTCGTATATTGGTATCACATTGTCAGCTTCAACGTCGTCTGAAGACATTTGGTTTCCGGACAATTACTTTAGTTTAAGTGTATGGATCTCTATGAAATTTAATCAAAGGGTTCAATACCACAAAAGGAAGGTTGGGATTGTTTTTGGGGGTGATGGTCCCAACCGTTTAGGAAAAAAGGGTCAAAACAAGCATTTTTCTAGTTTCAGGACAATAACTTGTGTATAAGTATTTTGATTGCTCTGAAATTGTACCACAAGGTTCAATACCACAAGTAGAAGGTTGGGACTCATTTTGGGGGTAATTGCCCAAACCGTTCAGGAATTAGGGGCCAAAAAGGGTCTAAAACAAGCATTTTTCTAGTTTTCAGACAATAACTTGTGTTTCAAAATTAATTTTTTTGGAAAAGGGGGGGGGGGGCGGGGGGGGAAAGAAAATTCTCTTCAAATATTATTTTTTTGGAGGGGGGTAAAAAAAAAATTTTGGGGGGGGGTCAATTTTTTTTTCCCTCAAGATTTAAGAAATTGTCAATTTTCCAAAGAAATTAAATTTATTTTGTTAATTCTTTGTTTATAGTCTGAAAACAGATTTACTAAGTATTGCGCAACAGCACAGTGTATTGCACAACAGCAAGAAATCTTCAATTGAATATAAATTCAAATCATACAACCAATTTCAAGTTCTTTGACTACATTTATTCTGTGTCAGAAACCTATAATGTGTCAAATATTTAATTACAATCCAAATTCAGACCTGTATCAATCTTGAATATTGTGTCCATTTTTGACCCAACTGTTCAGGGTTGGACCTCTGCGGTCGTATCCAGCTACGCTCGGCGAAGCATTTTATTACTGGTTCATAGACAATAAATTGGTTCGCAGACAATAACTTGAGTATAAGTGTATGGATCTGTATGAAATCTTAGCACAAGGTTCCATACCACAATAGGAGGGTTGGGATTGATTTTGGGGGTTATTGGTATAGCTGTTATGTAATTGGGGGCCAAAAAGGGGCCAAAACAAGGAATTATTTGAATCTGGAATAATTTTGAATTCTGGAAAATTGATCAGAAATTTATGATGAAAACTAACCTAACTAAATAGGGTTAGCCATGCACGCATGGCTAAGGGGTGTTAGTTAGTTCATACTGAAATGATAGTGAAAGTAAAATTAACCTTAGCCATGCATGCATGGCTAACCCCATTTAGTTGGGTTAGTTTTCATCATACATTTCTAATCAGTTTTCCAGAATTCAAAATTATTCCAGATTCAATTAATTCCTTGTTCCAAACACATTTATTTTTCTGGTTTGCAGACAATAACTTGAGTATAAGTGTATGGATCTATTTTAAATTTTAACACAAAGTTCCATACCATAATTGGAAGGTTGGGATCTATTTTGGGGGTTATTGTTGTAGCTGTTTAGTAATTAGGGGCCAAAAAGGGGCCAACAAAAACAATTATTTTTCTGGTTCACAGACAATAACTTGAGTATAAGTGTATGGATCTCTATGAAATTTTACCACAAGGTTCCATACTTCAAAAGGAAAGTTGGGATTGATTTTGGGGGTTGGCCCAAACTGCTAAATAATTAGGGGCCGAAAAGGGGCAAATAAAATAGGATTTTCTGGTTTCTGGACAATAACTTGAGTATAAGTCTATGGATTGCTATTTAATTGTGCCACATGGTGTTATACCATAAAATAAAGTTTGATCCAGAAACAATTATCAGCAATACAAGATCAACAAAAAGAGATTTTAGTCATGAGTTATATTTTAGTCTAAAATGTTGGAGAGTGTCCATTGTTGAAGATGTCCATAGACCTAGGTGAGTGACACAGGCTCATGAGCGTCTTGTTTTTTGTCCCACATGAGGAAGATATGATAATGGTCTCTGTTCGTCCTCTGATCCAAAATACGTTTATATTAAAAAAAAAGACTGTTTGACATAAAGCTTTCATACTTGTAGGATTATTTATCGTCATATTCTTTTGACTATGCTATATTGTCCGTTTTATATGACAATTTTGAAGTGAGTTTTAATGCTTCAACCAGTTTTATTTTTAGCTCCCCTTGTTGTCATCTTCCGTTAACTTTTACAAAAATCTGATCTTTGAAACTACTGCGCCAATTGGAACCAAATTTGGATACAATCATCATTGGGATATCTAGTTTAAAATATTGTGTCCTATGATACTGCCTGACAACCAACATGTCTAGAAATAGAACAAAGGGTTAAAACGCAAGTTTTGTCTATTATTTTGAAAACCGCTATGGATAGAGAAAATCTGACAGTGGCAGAAAAGTTCAGAATGATGATATCTACCTACTGTCTATTTGTGCCAAAACTGTCAGACAACTCTTTAAAGAAGTTATTACCCTTAAATGATTTATATTTTTATAAAAATAAGGTGATGAGGTATGATTTCTAATGTGACAACTATACACCAAAGTTAAAATGAAGCCGATGTAAGCAATTACAGGCAACTGTACAGCCTTCAACAATTAGAAAAACCCATACGGTATAGTTGGCTATAAAAGACCCCAACTTGAAAAATGTGAAATAATTCAATTGAGTAAACTAATGGCCTAATTTATAACAAAACAATTTACGAAGAATAAATATGACAGACATCAGACATGAACCAACAACAACCACTGAACTACAGGCTCCTGACTTGGGAGAGTCACATAAAGGCGTGGTTAAACATTTTTGCTAGTTCCAAACCCTACCCCTAACTTGGGACAGGCACATAAAGAATGTGGCGGGGTTAAACATGTTTGCTTGCGCCAAACCCTCACCCTAACAGTACAACATAAAAACAAACAATAAAAATCAGTTGAAAGGGCTTGAATCATCAGATTGATACAATGCAGAAAAACAACTTAACAAAAACACAGACCAAAATGTGGCAGGGAATTTATACATCCCCCACAACAAAAAAGACACAAAGTACAGATCTGAGAGTGCTCACAGTTACTGACAGCTAGTTCAAAGCCAATAACAACTAATAAAAAAATCATGTATCTAAGACTAAAATATATCAATTAGTACACATCCAACATCCAATGGGTTTAGTGTAAAGACGTCATTACCAGTCAGAGAAAAACATGACCTGGTGCAATGCCAAAATATAGGCATTGACAGATTGTAGAGCGTGTATAACAATAATATTTCGTATGGTTTTGCCTATCATCTTGAAAAGTATAGCAGATAGAGAGAAACTTTAAATTGCAAAAATTATCAACAAGACAAGATCATTTCAAAGTTACTAAAGGTTGCACTTTGTAAATACAGCTATTTCTCAAACCACACCTCTTTTGGGGAGATATAGAATATTCATAGATAATTAATTTTGTTTACATACTGGTTCCCAGTTATGATCTCTAGGTTTCATCTCAAAGAGACATAACTTGGGAATGTTACCAGTAAATATACATATGCATATTGTCTATATAGAAATCTGTGGTAATCCCACAGTCAGGTAGGGATAGTTAAGAAATTTAGTGTTAGTTTAAACTCTTAGAAGTTCGGGGCATATAAACGTTGAAAATATGCCGCACAGCCCTATATTTTGACCTTTGAAAAAAATTGTAGTCCATATTTCTAGGATATGATTTTTTTCAAAACTTTATAGTAAAAGTGGTACAGTTTTAGCCGTAGAGGGAGTTCCTATGGGAAATTGCATTGTCAATATTTACAGAAATGCAACCCATATTGGGTGAAAAAAGCGAACATACAGAATTTAACCAAATTTGGTTTATCTCACAGATTTTAAAGAAATTAACTCAAATATGAAGTTATATTTCATGAAGATTGAGAAAATCCTGGGCCTAACTATGATGACTCAGCATAAATTCACAGTTTACAGTATGCATAGTTTACTTAAAGCCCTGAATGCAAAATAAATTCATAATATATGCATATTTGTAAGTTAAATTATTTAGAAGTGCTTATATTTACTCATCTTGAAACTCATAGATCCTTCCTGAATATTATTGGTGGGGTGTTTTTGTCCTGTCGATAACCCAAAAGTAAGCTGTAACGCCTAAATCTGCTTTTTTGTCACCGCGGCATAAAAAATACAAGCTTAAAATACAAAAATATCTCAACAAAACTTCCAATAGTGTGTTCTTATACGTTCAGGTATTTCACATCCAATTTTTTATTGTCGAGCCTGCGACTTTTGTCGCAGAAAGCTCGACATAGGGATAGTGATCCGGCGGCGGCGGCGGCAGCGTTAGCTAACTTCTTAAAAGCTTTATATTTTAGAAGGTGGAAGGTCTGGATGCTTCATACTTTGTATATGGATGCCTCATGTTACGAAGTTTCCGTCAGTCACATGTCCAATGTCCTTGACCTCATTTTCATGGTTCAGTGACTACTTGAAAAAAAAGTTAAGATTTTTTGTAATGTTAGATTCTCTCTTATTATAAGTAATAGGATAACTATATTTGGTATGTGCGTACCTTGCAAGGTCCTCATGCCCGTCAGACAGTTTTCACTTGACCTCGACCTCATTTCATGGATCAGTGAACAAGGTTAAGTTTTGGTGGTCAAGTCCATAT